AAGAATAAAAAATTTCAAGTGAATCAGAAGAATTATCGTTGTCAAAATGAATTTGTGATTATTTGTGACCTAAAGAAATGTGACTTTATGTTAATTATTGCTATTATTTATATTATTTTATAAAAAAGTACGATTTAAAATTATATTGTATGTTTAGTTTTGTTAAAGATGTCGTTAATACTTGAAAAGTACTGCATAAATTTAATTACATACATGTAGTTTACAAAATTACTTATAATTATTTGAGCGGTCAATTATTGAATCTATCCAAAACTAAAACAATGATTCTTGGCTCAAGTTCTAGGTTAAAAAAGTTACAAGCAAATGGTATTCCACCAATTGTCATTGACGGATTTGCACTTCCTTACGTAGAGTCAACTAAGTGTTTAGGTCTTCATATTGTAAATAATTTATCTTGGAGTTTGCATGTGTCAAAGACTGTAAATAAAATTAATTCAGCGTTATATAGTTTAAAAATAAGAAAAAACATCTATACTAAAGACATTAGGAGGTTATTAGTCTCAGCAACTATATTACCGCTTATCGATTATTGTTCTATAGTATTAATTTAACTAGTTGTACTGCTGATGAGAATTGTAAATTACAACGCTCATTAAATACAGCGATTCGTTTTATTTATAATTTGAAAAAGGATAACATATTTCACCATATAGACGAGAGCTTGGATGGCTATCAGTAAAAAGCCGCCGAATGTACTACTTAGCATGTTATTTTTATAAACTGTTGAGTATAAGCAAACCTAGCTACTTACGAGAACTATTTATTGAAGATATTGATACTAGACATTCTGTAAGACTAGCAGCAAAAAAGAATTATGTAAATTTCAAGTTACCTAAATTTACTACAACTATCTATGAATTATCATTTGTAGTTACTTGCATATTCGTCTTTGGGAAGAATTACCAAACGATGTGATAAATGCTCCCAGTATAGAAATTTTTAAAAATAAGCTTTATGATTACCTTTTTAATCTTGACATCTAAATCTAAAATAAATTTTCAGTTAAATCTTTAAAATTTTTAAAATTAATAAATACAGTAAAACTATTAAATCACTAAAATTATTAAAATTAAAATCTTTAAAATCATAATCATAAACATTGTAATCTATTAGTTTTCATTTTCACTTAAATTGTTTCTTCAATATTAGTATATAAGCAATATTACTTCTTCTAATATCTTATTATGTATAATTATATATAAGTTATAATTATTATGTTTAAATCAAAACATTAAAAAATGTATTGTATTCACAAAATGTATATTTTTCTATTGCCATCTGGCCAGTGAAGGCTTTGGCATAAATCAATAAATTCAATTCAATTCAATTTATTCACTGGGTTTTGTAAAATCAGACTCATTTTATTAAATTTGTAAAATATACGAAGATAAAGAAGACAATATTATTATGAAAATCGAAATGAAAATAATTTATGAATACAATTAAAACGGTCAAGTTAAGTTTTGAAGTTAATTATGACTACAATAAGCTAAATTATCAGTACCGGCAACAAATCGGTCATTCACCGGCAGGTTTACCCTATCGTAATTTTGATTGAATAAGATAGTAGCGGTGGACTTTACTTCTTATTTTGTAGTTTTTACAATCTACTATTGTAAATTTTATCCAACAAACAAGACTAGCAAGATACTTAAAACGTTGAATACCATAGAGCAAATTATACAATATGTGTTTGTGAACTTTACAATTCAACTATTGTAAAAATTCACAGTCGGTTTTTTTATAAGAAATTTTAGGGAGGGAGAGAGATAGGAGGTCGGACTAATTGATACCTGTACAGTAACCGAAAAAAGAAGTTGAAAATTTCGTCCTATCCGGGAATCGAACCCAGCACTCCTTGTTGGCAGCCAGAGACTCTCCCTCTACGCTATCCGAGGTAAACTAATATCGATGTCCTTTTACATTTACATAAACTCGGAGTCTAGCGCTGCGCACAGCCATCACTCACATTAATTGAAAATCATTCCAATTCAACTATTGTAGAAAAGTTTGGAAAATCAAAAAGTGCACGCCTCATAACGCTCATTCATTTTTTAACAAAAAAATTAATTGTGTAATTTATTAAAAAAAAAATTAGGAATACGGTTGACCCTGAAGGCCATCCCTTCGAGCTCAAAAGTTTGATAGAAGTTTGATAAAACACTATTTTTAACTTCCCGCTAAGAAAATCGAAGATTTTCAGAAATCGGGAAGTTATTGTTTTCACCCCGTTTTGCAAAAATCGAGTTTTCATAAGATCTCGACGTTTGAAGGTCACAAGAAGCTTCCCTGACTATCCCCGCGAGGTTATCACGGTGTATGTGTGTGTGTGTGTGTTTTTCAGGAGGTGCTGTGCATAAGCTGCAACAGCTGACCAGTTTTCCTCTTGTTTGATCAGATAGGTCACCAGGCTTGAGGGGGAGAGTGTGTGTTCGGCGTCGTCGATTTTATCCGGGCAGTATTTGCATGTTGGTGTATTGTGTAAACCCATCTTGAAGAGATAGGCGTTGTACTGCCCATGCCCTGTCAGTAGTTGGGTCAGGAAGAAATCCGTGTCCCCGTGTTTCCGAGAGAGCCAGGCGTTGATGTTTGGGATTAGTCGCGCTGTCCATCTGCCTGTCTCTCCCGACGTCCATCGGTCCTGCCACTCTTGCTGCGTTTCCGTTTTTATCCTCGTTTTTGCCTCCTTCATCTTTTCGCCGCCGATTTTAGCGTCGTAGAGTCTTGCTCTCTCGAACGCTAATAGGTCGATGGGCGCAGCTCCCGCAATGACCAATACAGCCGCTTCGGAAACCGTGCGGTAGGCGCAGGCAACTCTGAGATAAATCAGTACCGAATGGACTGCTTCCAGAAGGACTCTCCTCTTTTTGGTTCTTGGTCCCATAGTGTTCGTCATAATTCTTGCTAGACTAGACACCGTCTTGCTGGCTTTTCTGGCATGCATTATCGAGGTGTTCGCGGAAAGATAGTTTCTCGTCTATCATTACCCCCAGATAGCGCAGGGCCCTTGTTGACGTTAGTGTTGTTCCTCCCATGTCCATAGCGAATGGTTTTGGGAACCATTTTTGGCGAGTCAGAACGACCATCTCGGTTTTGTGTTTGGCGAGTTTCAGGTGGTGTTTATCGAGCCAAGTCTCGACAGCATCAATGGTTTCCCGAACTAGAAGTTCGGCCTCCTCTACGCTGTCTACTATTATCGTGGCCGCGACGTCGTCTGCAAAACCCGTTAGCTCCACTTGCTTTGGCAACGAGATTTCAAGAAGCTCGTCGTAGTCCGCGTTCCATAGATCGGGCCCCATTATTGAGCCTTGCGGCACGCCAGCCGTTATGGCGTATTCTTGTGGGCCTTCCGTGGTTTCTGCTATTAGCTTTCTTTCGTCAAGGTAGTTGTCAACTAGTGCCAGATTCTCCGGTTCTACGTCAAATCTGTGCTCCAGGGCGTCCAAAATATCTCTCCAATTTGCGCTGTTAAAGGCATTTCTAATGTCTAGCGTGAGGACAAGACACACCTTGCGGGCTTTGAGGCTATCAGTCCATGCTTCTCTCGCTGTCTTTACGACTTTCTGTATCGCGCCTACTGTTGAACGTCCTTTCCGGAAGCCATGTTGGTTCGCGGCAAAACCTCCAGCACGGTCTATGTCGTTGCGAAGTCTCCCTTGTATGAGCTTCTCGAGCAGTTTTCCAGCAATGTCCAGCATACTGAGTGGTCTAAACGACGAAGGTGTTATGGGGGTTCCCTTACCTTTGTCTAAGAGAACCAATCTCTGCCGTTTCCAGACTGCGGGAAACGTGCCAGTTGCCAAGCATGCGTTGTAGGTGTTCAGGAGTATGTCTGGGTATTCCAGGGCTACAATATTGATCACCGATGCCGGGATGCCATCAGGTCCAGGTGCCTTTCCTGTTTTGAGTGACTTGGCCGCGTCTTGTAATTCCTTAGTTGTGAAGGGTGGTACTTCGCTGTTCTTAGTGTAGTGTTTCTTTTCCCGCGGCAGGTGTTTGGGAAAAAGCCCCGCTACAATGCTGTCCATCGAGGCAGGAGACTTCGGCGCCTCTGGTGAAGCCTTTCCAAATCGTTTGGCGACAATTTGGTAGGCTTAACCCCAGAGGTCATTGTCGAGATCATTGCAGATCTCTTTCCACAACTTCGCTTTACTTGCTTTGATGGCTCGGTTTAGCGTCTTTTTGGCCTGCTTATACTCTTTTGAATACAAGTCCTGGCTTTGGGAGTGTTTCGCGGCTCTCGTTGCTCGGCGACGTAGCTGATGGCATATTTTGCGAAGTTCTGCTATGTCTGCTGACCACCAGTACGCCGGCCTGTGGAAACTCTGATTTTTCAGCAGCGGCATAGAGGCATCAATCATATGCGGCAGCAATTTCCTTCATCGTATTTAGCACTGCCTTTTCCGTCTCGCTGCACATATCTGGAGTCGTGTTGTTCTGAAGAATAAACCAGCTTCGTGCAAGTGAAGCTTTCAATGCCCATGGATCAAGCCTTTTGGCATTCCACTTCCACTTAGAAACGTCGCGTTGTGAAACCGGAGCAAATGCCAATCCGACGCTGAATGTCACGAACTGGTGATCACTGCCACTGTATTCTTCGGATACTGTCCAGTCTTCGATCATGTTGGCAGTCCTTGGAGTCGCCAATGAAATGTTGAGGATGGATTTTTGGTACCCTGGTCTTCTAAAGGTCGTGGTGCTCCCGGTGTTCAGCACTATGAGGTCGAGTCTAGCCACGACGTCAGCGACCTCGTTTCCTCTGGTGTCGGAGAAAGCAGTGCCCCACTCAGCCGATTTAGCGTTGAAGTCTTCGGCTACGATAACTTTACCATCGAACTTAGTGACCGCATCTTCTATATTTGCCAGTTTCTGTCGGAACACACTAATCCCTTCGTTAGGTGAGAGATAGACGCTCATGAAGCAGGTTGTGGGGGTTTGAATCCAGACAAAACCTGCTCCACTTCCGCTGTTGTTGACGGTAACGTTCTTTGTGTTTACAATCCAAATTGCTGCCATGCCCGTTTCGTCTGCGAACCATGTTTTACCTTCGATGTTTAGATATTGCTCGCAGATAAAGCAGACGTCAATTTTATCTTCAAAAACACGCTGGCGCAGCAGGTTTTGCGCCAAGGCGCACCTATTCAGGTTGCCTTGTAGTATGCGT